ATGTTTTTTAGTCAATATGAATAAAGACGGTAGTTAGACTAGATAATTTTACTCGATAACAAAAAAAAATTCTTTGTTTTTCTAGCAGTACAACATGAACGTGGACCACGTAAAGCAAAACAGAAAATTCTCAGTGTTTCCAATATGATTTTACCGAGTTCAACTGGATCAACAGCACCGCCTGTTGCTTGTTCATCATCTCCAACAATAGCAAATGTTTCCACTACATCAATATCAAATCATTTTAATCGAAAACCTAAACTTCTTCCAACACAACAACAACAACTATCTTGTTTATCAACAATTGACCATTATAATCCATTCCCAACAATCATTAATCAAGTAATCAAAAAAAAAAAACGTAAATTTATTTATAGAGTAATCATATTCTTCATTTTAATAGATAACATTATATGAAGCAGCAGCACGTCTTTTATTTACTATAACAAATTGGTTAGAAACAGTACCTTCATTTAAAATTCTTCCTACTGATGATCAAGTATACTATTTGGTTAAAATAATCGAATATTTTAGTCTTTTTTTTTCATGTTATTTCAGCGTTCACTTCTTGAAGATAATTGGCATTATCTTCTTATGATTAATTTAAGTCAATGGATGGTACCTATAATGGCTATTCAATTAACAAACAATACTGTTACACAAACAGATCAAATAGAAATACAACGTATATGTGATTGTATTTATAAATTACGATCACTTGCATTAGATGCTTATGAATATACTTATGTCAAAACTCTTTCACTTTATCAATCTTCAGGTAGATCTTAAATACAATTAAAATATAAATCAGTTAGAATTGTCTTATGTTTATAGCTAAACCTTTAATTAATCAAAATCATATTGATGCTTGTCAAGAACATGTTCTTTTTGTATTACGTACAAGTTTAATGTCTCATTCAGCAACAACATATTCAATAAAATTTAGTCAACTTATTGGTATAATTCAAATGATGAATCAAATATCAGCAAATAATGTACAACGTATTTTATTTCCAAGTATAACACATGATGTACCAGTTGGTAAAATTCTTTGGGAACTTTATCGATCAAAATCAAGTGAAACAGCATTATAAAAAGTCATTATTATTTAAATAAAACTTTCATGTTTAATTCTAGTCATTGTTTTTTTTTTTCTTTCCCTTTCCTTCATTTTTTTCTCAAATATAAATAAATATAACACAGAATTTTTTCAACGATATTTTTTATTCTTCAATAATTAAATATACGTATTTGAATTTCTATAAAATTCAATTCACGCGATCAATTTGATTTAAGTTCAATAATATGAAAAAGAAAAAAATGTTAAACAAGCTCCTTAACAACTTGAATGATTATCTTGTCACATCCTAATGCTAAGCAAAACAAAATTGTGTATCTGTTTGATTAATATCATACACATTTTTGAATATTTTGCGAAAATCATTGGCTTCAAAATGGTGGATGGATGTAGGTACGTTGAGAGAAGAAAAGCACATTCACATTCACACACCAACCTACGATACAATAAGTTTTCAAGTTTTCTTCTGCTATGTAAATATGCAGTTAGATAAGGGATTATGTAGAACTAATTTCATGCCACATAAAGTCAGATTTTGAGTTCAATAACTTTTAGTTAAAATAACAGAGAAAATGAACCAAATTAAATTTTCTTATAGATTTCAGTTTGGAGTTGTTCCAAACATCTGTTTATATAACAGAAAGTTTGAATTCAAAATAACTTATGAACACATATTTTGAAAATCTATTGTTTCTCCTACTAAATAATCAAAACAGAAAGGAGTATTTTGTTGTAAGTCTTTACCATAGAAGCCATACTGAAATAAACACCTTCCTCAGAAACAATTGTATAAAGCACCTTCCAAGCAGACAAACTTTTGAGAAAACGCATTTAAACGTGTTTTCTCAAAAGTTTGTCTGCTTGGGTAATAGCTTCGGTGCAAGAAAGTACTCAGCACTTATGTCAAGGAAAATCTCAGTATTCTTCGAGAAAAGATTTCCAATGTTTTGCTATTGTCGAATGTCATCACGAAACTTTTCTACTCATTTTAGGCAGTTGCAATCTACAAAATCAGGATATAATTAGATATTCAACATAATTCCTCAGCACCGTTGATCACCGAGTATTATTCAATACATTATCAAAACTTTTCTTGCTTTGTAATGTAGATATTAAACATATGAGATCAATTTTTAAATAAAATCTTATCAGGAACCTTTCCATCTATTGAAGGACAAACGTGAAATGTGAATATAAAAAGTTCACTGACGAAATATTGTTGTTCCGAACCTTCGTTTTCGACATATCAAAATTTTACTGGATATTTCAGCAGAAAAACATGTCACCCCCATCAGATCATCTAGAAAGTATAATCTCGACTTAAAACTTTGCAGGAACCAAGTTCTTAATGAGATTAATTAATATAGAAAGCTTGAAATAATCAATATCTCAGGACGAAAAAAAAAACCTAGAAAATTACAAGTTGTCCATAGAATTAATCTTACGTTCATGCAAAATTTGAATTCGAAAGTCGACTTTTTATGTAACATGAGTTGAACTGCAGGTTCCTGTTGAAAAAACAAGGAAGGTTCGAAAATCAAAATCATTCTAACGCTTTCTATTACTTATCCAATGCACATTGTCTCATTCGAAAAAAATATCGTTGCTTCAAATTGAATTTTTGTTCGCTCTATTTTGATTGATATTGTCTATTTTCCAAAAGATTTCAACAATATTTTTTCAATTTCGAATTCATTTATTTCTGAAACTTCTTATAAATAAGAGTGTAACAATTAGTGTGGAATCAAATAAACAATATATTTAGAAAGATGTGCATGCAAAAGAATGGTTAATTTAATTATATCTCGAAAACAGTAAATCCTTTCGTACACGCTTTAGTAAGAGAAAGACTCTTGATTCTTATTTTTCTTCATTTGGTTAAAAGAAAAGAAAGCTTTAGATATTCAAACATTGATGATGGTACTGATAATGAAAATGCTATTTTACAATCATTAGATTCATATGCATTCGTCACTAGTGATGAACACCCTGCAACTTTTCAGATGACGTTGTCTCAAACTATTACCGTTGAAAACGAACAAAACACACAATTTAAAGAAAAGACAATTAGTGAAATATGTCTTGATATTATTGATATTACTCATTCATGTCAAGATCTACCGACTCAACCGAACCTTATTTCTTATCTAAGAAATTATGAAAATCGATCACTAATGGCAAGTTGGGTTTTAGGGACGATAATGGCTAGATTACTCAAGTCAAAAAGGTCGTAGCTACTGTTATTATTGCTGTCGTTTCAATGTACCAATATTATTAATAAATAAAAAGCCTCAAATTGATGCATCTATCAATAATAGATTTCAACATTGCAAAAAGTTCTTGATAAATCGAAAGATTTTAATCAACATTTAAAAAGTTACGGTCATATTTTAGCAGCAAGCATAATCACAACGCAATGGTATACATATGTTGGGCAAAGGTGGAATGGAACAGATACGTCGAAACCAAGAGCGACTGACAAAAATTGTATCAACATTAGACTCAGCAGGATGAATAACTTGGCCTGGAGATTTTTTTGCTATCGTCTAAGGCTCAATTGCTGAAATTGGGGTTTGTATAGATTGAAAGAGAAGATTTTGTCCTACTGATTGTTCCTATTACTACAGTACCCGCCATAAGTGTATGCGCGTTCTTTTCGTTGTTCAACAGTGATCTTTCTTTGATCTTTTCGCTTTGTTTGAATGGACTAGTCACACTCATCATCCGATATAAATAGAAACATTTATATTCATTCTGTGATCACTTTATAACTTATTAGAAAAAGAACCTTTTTTTTAAAGAAAAGACGAGAAACTATCTTTCTATAAAGACAGAGCTATTCCCAACATATGTCAAATGGTGATATTTCACGGTATCTATACGAATCAGTGAGTAATTGTAAAATGTAGGCTTAAAAGGTATGAAATAGCTGGTGACGTATACGTTGCACAAAAATCCGGTCTATACTGGAAAAACAATTCGCAACGATTCAATCCATCGTAGCTCGACGTTCAATCGAATCTGTCGGTCAAATTGCATTTAGATTATCACAGAGAGATATAAAAATTCGTAAAACCACATTAAGAAAAAGATTTAAAGAGACTGGTGTACATTTAATGAAACCGACTTCAAAACCGTTGCTAACAAGTGACGACGTTTTAAAAAAGACTCCAGCAGGATATAAAACTCAAAGACTACTCCAAGTGAAAATGTCTAGGCATTAATGAAGCTCAGAATAAACAAAGAACCGTATATATCGACCAATGATTTCATGGAAAGAATAAAACAAAGAATGGAGAAACTTAGCTAATGAATTTGCTGAAAATTAGGCGCTTGTATAGAAAATAGAGTAGCATGGTTAATTGAAAGAAAAAGCTATTATATTAATTATGAAGATGATGCACATATAATGTAGATTTCATAAATAAAATATAACCAAATAACTCATCCTTTGTTTTGCTCATTTTTTCAATCGCAGCCACTTATGGCGAGTACTATACTTGAAATCTAGTGGGAATTGACGTCAGAATCTGGCTTTCAAATCTTGACTAGGAACTTAACTGACTCGTCAATTGATAATTTCGGATATTTTCACTTGAATAGTAAAAATCCCAGGTCCTTATGTCACGCTGGCAGTAGAAAAAAGAATCAATGGTATTATTTCTATTCAGTATATCAAATACTACAATAAAGTTCACTTTATCTTGTCATACTAAAGCCAAAACTTTTTAGTTAATCTATATTGAAAACCTTCCGCTTGCGTCATCTTACGAAGCCACTTTATTTTATACATAGAGAACAAATCGTATTATTTTCTAGTATCCATTACATCCATCTATTAGTAGAATATACTTTTCCTTCTTCGATAACTATTTGTTTTTCTTTTGTTTACACAAGCAAGTACTTGTTTGAAATAGTTTACATGGCTGATCTCGATCAACTTATTTTAAAACTCTTTGATATTGAAGCATTCAAATTTGGTGCATTTAAACTTAAAAGTGGTCTTCAATCACCCATCTATATTGATTTACGTGTAATCATCAGCTATCCCGATGTTCTTGTAATCAATCATTATTTATTTATTCTTCTAATATTTTCTTCAAATTATTTGTATTTTTTTTCATAGCGATCAGTAGCTGTTCATATGAATGGAATACTTCAAAATTCAAATGTTAGGGTTAATGAAATTTGTGGTGTTCCATATACAGCTCTACCAATTGCTTCAGTAAGTAGAAAATTTCTTTGTATTTTACCTAAAAAAAAAACAATCAACGGTATTCTGTTTTTTTTTGCTATATAACAGATTATCTGTGCTGATTATAATAGACCAATGTTAATTCGAAGAAGAGAAGCAAAAGATTATGGAACAAAAAAAATAATTGAAGGAAAATTTCATTCGAATGATCGATGTATTATTATTGAAGATATCGTTACTACTGGATCAAGTGTTATTGAAACAGCAGATGTAAATATATTAGAAAAAAAAAAAATTTTTTTTCAAATCGTTATAATATTTGTCATAATAGGATCTTCGTACGGAAGGATTACAAGTAACTGATGCTATTGTATTTGTTGATCGAGAACAAAATGGTGAAAAAAATTTACAAGAAAAAAATATTCGATTACATCGGTATATGTTTACATGTTATATGATTCACGTAATGGATAAAGTTTTTCTTTTTGCTTTTTAGAGTTTTGAAGATATCAGAAGTTTTAGACTGTCTTGTTCGACATGGAAAAATAACTGAGGAAGTTTCGAAAGATGTTCGAGAATTTATACATGGAAATCAAACGCAATTACCAACGTTAAAGATTGAAATTGAAGACAAAAATATTACTATGCCAATCCGTCAACGATTTCAAACAATTATGAAAGAAAAAAAAAGTAATCTTTGTTTATCAGCAGATTTAACAAGTCTTGATGGAATTATTGAAGTAAGTTTATTTAATAAAAAGAAATTGTTTTTAATTTAATTTTTTGATTTCCAGTTATCAAAACAAATTGGATCAAAGATTTGTATGTTAAAAATTCATTGTGATATTTTAACAGACTTTTCTATGGATAAAATTCAACAATTAAAAGATATTTCAAGAGAATTAAATTTTCTTTTACTTGAAGATCGGTAATAACTTGCGTATACAATAAATGTCTTTGCACAAAATATCTGTTCAATTAAATCCTTTTGCATACTTTCGAAGTAATTAGGGTTATGACCGTTACATTGGATGTTTTTCTTTAGCACAATACTTATAAAAAAAATCGAACAAAAGAATTTCGACCATAGACAACTTTTAAATAATTCCTCTAAGTTTCTTCTGATCTCAATAGATTGAATTAAAAGCCTTTCTGAACTTTTAAGTATAAGAAAGAACTTTTTCACATCATAATTCTAACTTGTGAAGTTGAATTAGATTCTGGTAGTTTCCAATTTTGCAACCCTGACGTGAGTGTGAATGATATAAGTACCCACACACATCCTACAAAACAATAAGATAGTAAATTTTGTGGTCATGCTGTTGTGAAAATACATTGTCAAATGCAAATGCTCTTGTCTATTATGATAAATATCACTTATTCTATACATTTTCTTTCACCTCTTTTTTTTATATATTTCGTCAAATGTTATTTTTATTATCATGAGTATATTTTCTCAATTATGCGAAACCGTACTGATATGATCAATAACTTATGTTAACTCAAGGCTTTCTTCTATAAAAATGTCGGTAGCTATACAGTCAAGTCTAATGGACAGGTTTTTCATTAATTTACAGATAAACTTTCATAGTGAATAATATTTTTGACTTTTTATTGTTGTAGAGAACTTTACAATAAGCTAGAAGTTATAAGAATTGAAGGATTACTTGTAAAATTTTTCAAGTTCAACAGATATTGATCATCTATAGTAAAACGTAAAAGGATAAATAAATCCGACATTTTGTGAAAAATAAACAGAAATTGAATAGACATGTTTGTTGCAAAAGATTTTCTTTTTTTGTACGGTGATGAAAATAAATTTTGATTTAATTCATTATTATATAGGAAATTTGCTGATATTGGTAATACTGTAGCAATACAATATACTAAAGGTGTTTTTCGTATTGTTGAATGGGCAGATCTTGTTACTGTTCATGTTTTACCAGGTGAAGGTATTATACAAGCATTAGAACAAGTAAGTTTTACATATGAGAATTTAGATAAATGAATTAATATGAAATATGTTTTTAAAAATTAGGCAGCAAAAACAGTGAATGAACCACGTGGATGTTTATTAATAGCACAAATGTCATCGAAAGGAGCTTTGACGAATAATGAAGACTATGTTAAAGGTGTAGTAACATGTGCTGAGAAATATTCTGATTTTGTTATTGGATTTATTTCACAATCACGTCTTACAACTAATGATAAATATCTTCATTGTACTCCAGGTAAATTATTTTCATATGATTAAAGAATGAAAAAGAAAAGTCTTCTAAATGATATATGAAATTAGGTGTTCATCTGAATAATACTGGTGATCAACTTGGTCAACAATATGTAACACCACGTCAAGCTATTGATGGACGTGGTGCTGATATACTTATTGTTGGTCGTGCTATACTTGATTCAATTAATCGTGTTAAAACTGCTGAAGAATATCAACAAGAAGGTTATCGAGTATATGAAGAATTACATAAAATCTAGGAAATCTTTTTTTTTGATTTTATCTATTGCTTTAATTCTAACGTAAATAAAATATGATAGAAAAAAGATATTCTCTCATGTTGATTATATGTCATATTCATTTTCGAGGTTATGCATATATTTAAATATTTTCTTTTTTTTTGCAATTCAATGAGTTTTTTTTTGTTCTTATGTAAAGAGAAAAAACTTAAGGTATGATCTACACTTTACTTAATCTTTGCTTATTTAAAATATCGTTCATCATTTACTATGTATTGTTCATATACAAATCATAAGCAATGATCTTCTATTGTTTTAATCTTATTGTCGTATTTTATATAACCAATGGACAACAAAGAAATTATAATTTTTTTATGCCAGATTTACCTTCTCTATATTCATCATTATCATCATCATCATCATCAAATTCAATTATTCGTAAAACTCATTCATTTACAACTCGTACATTTACAAAAATAAATTTATTAGGTGGTCCATTCAATGTTAAACTTTATTGTAATACAAATGTAAACAATAATTATACATCAGTTGATGTTGAAACTGAACAATCAATACATAAATTAATATCAATTGATATTGAACAAAATGATACACTTACAATACGTATGATCGAAAATTTCAATATACCTAATAAAACAAATATAACATTATTTATTATATATCAACAATTAAATGAACTTCAAATCGATGGTATAATTAATATTCAATGTGTAAATCAAATACAAACAAATATATTTCGTTTACAGAGTCGTGGTAGTGGTTCAATAAAATTAAAATTAAATGTAAATAAACTTGATGCTTATTTACATTCAATTGGTTATGTTAAATTATGTGGAGAAGTTAATGATGAAGCTATATTAAAATCTTTAGGAGTTGGTGATGTAGAATGTCGAAATTTGTTAACAAAAAAGATTTATGTTATATCAAGTGGAATTGGAAATATGTATATAACAGCTATTGATGAAATAAATATAACATTAAGTGGAATAGGCACTGTTTATTATTCAGGTCCATTAAAAGAGAATATTAATACAGGTTTAGGAAGTATTTCAGAAATACCAAATATATTATCTTCAAATAATCAACAATTAATCAATAAGGATTTAGATTAGGAATAGTTTTTTCTTTTTTCTTTTTGTCATTATTATTTATTTCTATTCAAGCAGTTTGAATAAAAAACGTAATTCTTTCGCCTTTTGTTTTGTACTCTTATCAATTGACCTATTCATATTTGTAAAAATCATTTTTTTTTTGCTTGCAAGCTGTTTCTATATTTATTTGTATGGGGGGGATGTGTTACTTGCGTCGACATATAGATATCTCTGACTACATGTAAGAAAATGATCTAGCTCGTCAAAAAAAAAAGAAAAAGAAAAAAAGAAGAAGAATCGAATCCATTGCGACGGAAAATGTCGCGCAAACGCACACAATGCAACCAACATCTGGCTATGTTCTTGAGACGACGGCGCTGATAGATGCGATCATAATGACGAGTGAGAAAAAGAAGAGAGAGAACAAGAATAAGAAGAAAGAGAGAAGAAACTCCGGACTCTCTTCTTTGCCGTTGCCATCCCACTGGGGCCAGGGATCGTATATTTGTTCTTCTCTTGCACACACATAAACACACAGAAACGACTCAACTATGTTACTGAGAATGCCGCCGGCAAATGCGCATTCTAACTTATATTTGTCTCTTCATTCATCTCAAATGGCAATATATGATGATGATAATAATCACTATCATCATGATAATGTCATTTTCCTTATATGACGAATGATTGTTTTCAAAACAGATACATTTCATTATCAAACTATTCGAAAGTAAAAACAAAATACAAACGAAATCGATACAGACATCATTAGATTAAAAAAAGACATTCATATGTATCGAACACATTCATCCATACCTTATGACATATTGCATGGCATTGATTTTTCTGCTAATGTATCATCAATATTTGCTTATCTAAGTTATTTTCCACCGCCGCCTCCTGTTATACCATCTCCACCACCTCAACGTTCTTGGACATGTTCTGCCCGTTCTTTATCATCATCATCATGTTTAGTAGCTGATGATCTTAATCCTCCAAGTCTACGAACATATATTCCATTGATTAATAATAATCAATCATTCTTATCCAAAAATACATCTCATGTTTATAAAAATGTAGATCAAAATTTTAAATCTTCATCTATCTTAGATTTTTTTCAAAATCAATTACCATTCATTATTTTATTAATTATTTTCTTAAGTATATTTATTTTTGTTATCATATTATTATTAGTATTTCTTTGTATGCAGCGCAAACGACAAAGACAATTAACATCAAGTAGCCATATTGGTATGAATAATAATAATAATAATAATAATAATAATAATAATAAATTTTATCATCGTTTAATACCTTATCGTAAAAAATATCCAAAACCAACAACAACAACATCAAATACGAATGATGAAAATAATTTATTAAATTTAACAAATCATGAACCACCTGCCGTTGAAGTTATATTTGTACCGAAAACAAGTGGAACACAAATAAATGATAATGAAGAACAAGAAGAAACTGTTTAATATTTTTTTTTCTTCGTTTTTTTTTTTTCTGTAAATGTTCATTTCTTTTCTTTTTACTCAGGAAAGAAAAAATACAAATAAGTATTAGACAAAATTTTGTTGTCTTTGTTAAGCATAGATAAATTTAAAAAAGAAAAAAAAAAAAAAGAAAAGAACATTCAATAATCATTTTTGAATACAAATCATAAGAACAGTTGTTGAATCACAATCATAAGATTTTAATGTTCGTTTATCATCAAGTTGATCAAAAAAGCTACCAGTTTTTGTTAATGTTATGTGATTTGGATCAATATTTTCTTGTTTACCAAATATTTGTTTTAATTCATATATTGTTTTATCTAATGATATTCGACATTTATATTCTTGATTAAGAAATGTTCGTAATGTTATATAGGTTTGTCTTTTAAATAAAAAGTAAGTGTTGATCATAAATATTGTTTTGTTTTTTTGAATAGAAATACTTACTCAGATGGAATATATAATTTAGTTTGTTGATTAGATTTAGCATCATTTGTATTGGTGATATTTAATTGAATATTATTACACATTTTATTAATTTGATCAAGTCGATCTTGATCATATTGTAAAGATATTTCAATGGACTGAAATTAAAAAATAGATATGAAAATGTTTTATAGATATTTAATAATGAGTATAGCAAAAATTCTTCCATTAATTTTGTTTCTTTTTTTTTTTATACATTATTGTAATGGAATATTGTAAAGGCTTGATTTCTTTTTTTTAGAAAGAGCAAAACATTTTGATGCATAAATGTATCAAAAGAATTTAATTGACGATATTTTTCTAAAGGTTAAAAACATGTTAAAACAAAACATATCATGAAGCTCTTCCATAATTTCTTGTATATAGATAGATTTGTTTGACAATTCTCATTATCGACTTTTGATATTTTCCAGCAGCATCGATATATAATTATGCATGACAACAACGGCTTTCGTGTAATAGTAAAATGATTGATCTAATGTATAGTATGGTTCATTTACTTTTACTAATTTTCTTTAGTTACTTTATCGAACTGTATAATTTTAGTTTCATTCATTTCGCATTTTGATCAAAATTTTTTATAAAGAATATATTGAATTGAAAACGTTTTGAATTTAAAAAGAAAAAATTGATTTTAGTATTCAAATTTTAGGTAATTTTATAATAATGAAATAAATCAGACTTGTCATGCTATCTGCATAAAACAAAATTTACCTATAAGATCTTAACTAAATCAATAGATAAATTAACACTCTATCTTAATCATATAAGAAAAAAAGAGACAGAACAAACAGATAGTTTAATAAAATGTTCAATTTAGACTTTATCACATAAAAATAAAGTTTTGTCTGAATATCATTTAGCAGAGGGATTCAATAAGCTTCATTTTTCATATGCAATATTAATCTTCTAACAATTAATTTAGCTTTGTGATTTTTAGCAACAAAAAAAAATGAAGTCTTTACGATATTTCATTGCAAGATTATGTCATAAACAAAATAAATGCAAAACTTTTGTCTTATTGGTTAATTTTGTTTTTCTAATTTTATTATATACATTTAAATATTTTTGATGTGCGGCAAGTTTATCAGCTAGACGCGATTGAATATCAGATACTTTTGTTAATAAATTGATTAATTCCGGTTCATTTTTACTAAAAAAAAAAATATTTTTTTTTTTGAGTAAATGAAAATTATTCTTTTCAAAAGAAAAAGATAATTAACCTTTCGAGATGATAATTTTTTCCAATTAATTCAAGTTTAGGTTGTTCAAGAGGTTGAAGATCAGTTTCAACTTGTCTAAAACAAATAAATATAAACAATTATATTAACAGTCAACTTTGAAATATGCTCGTTTACGGAGAAAGTAAAAAACTTTAGTTTGTCCTTCAATAGCGAGAACAAATAATTTTGATATGTTGAGTATATAAAATATTTACTCAGTATTTCAACAATGTAAATCAAAAAATCACTTCGTATTTACTTAAATAAATTAACGTGACAAATATTATTCAAAACTAACATTGATCCTTATTTTTAATCATTCAGTGTGGTTATAAATATTAGTTAAAACTAGCAATTCCAATGTCGAAAAAATCTTGTTGAGTGCTTTTATTTGTAATATTAAATTTGAATCAAATAGAATAGTATAGAAGTTCAATATTCGTTTATAACAACGAATTTTGACACACGATAGAAGAAATATCATCAATAAGCTATCATAAATATTTTTTTCAAAGATGAATGTTTACCCTGAAAAATCTTACTGCCTCAAAATATAACTGATGGAGCTCATCGGACTGTTCCTAGACCGCATCTATGATTAATAGTTTATAAAAATCTATTTTCAAGAGTATATAACATGTTCAACTACATGGATTAAAAGCCATATTCCTGCATAGACGTTTTAGTGTTTTCTTCATCCTATCTATTTGACATCAACATGTACGGCACGACTTAATAGCAGAACCCTAGATGCTGCTAGTTAAAGATGACTATTATAAGGTTTTGAGTACACATTAGAGCTAAACTAGGTCTGGCCTATGTCTACATGAATTTGATATTAATATACTATTCCATCTATACAATAGACTTCAATAACAAATATACCATTGAATTGAAATTTTTCTTTAAAAATTGACATATATCCCGCAGTACAGTCAAAAAATCTCAATAATATTTATAAACGGCTTTATATTGAATACTTATAGTAACGGATGATCAACAAATAGTTTGACAAAACGTTCATACACTTTTCAGTCTCTTAAAGAAACCTAAGACAGTTTGAAAAACATTGGTAGATAATCAGAATTTTGTGTTCTCTTCGAATATGGCTTCAACATTTTTGTACGAATTCTGATTTAAGAATTATGAATCGGCCTTTTAGAGGCCCATAAATTAAGTTTGAACGAATTTCAGTACGTCAAAATTTATCCTACGAAGAAGCGAAAATTATTCGAAATATAACGAATGAAAGAGCAAACATTTATCTATAAAATAATATATTAATAAGTAACTTATTATAAGCTAATTGTCAATAATGAGTATTTTGGTAAGAGACATCATATCAACTTAGGCAATCTTCTCCGTCCAAACTTAATTTGTGCTCGCCTCTAACAGATTGGCTTCTGATATCTTAGACCAGAATTTTCACAAAAAATTTAAAATCATATTCAGAAGAATACAAAAATCTGTTTCTCATCAAATTTTTTCAAATTTTTGCCGGCTTCTTTAAGCAGATGAAAAATAAATGAACATTTTGTCAAAATACTTATCAATTATTCATGATTAGAATTTTACTTTTTGTATTGATTAGATGTACGAATTAGTTTCGTTCATCGTTGCCTCTACATATGATAGAAACTATGCATAACGAACTGACCTTTGCTCTATTTTGAAAATTCTTTTTTTTTTTGAAATCTTACGTTAATAAATTTTGTTCATGCGCATCAAGTTGTTTCAAAATGTCCATTTGTTTCATTAAAAGAATGGAATCATGTTGTTGTCTAATACTTTGAAATTGACTACATATTTC